TATCCACTTTATTTAAACCCTTTCCTAGCTCTGTGACTTCCATTTAGCTTCGGGCATTATGCCGCTGGAGTATTTTCCATGTGTGCTTGGCAGTTATCACGGCATTCCCAAGGCTGTGAGGCTAAAGGTGAAAGATTACGATGTGTTCCTTTTTACTGGTTCCTCTGTTCATTAGCCACTCTTAAAGTCTGTTCCAATCCACAGAACTGCTCTGACCCTTGACCCCTTACTGTAGGGCATGTGATGCCCCAGGCTGAGAGAGGCTGCATCGCCATGACAACCACTAGCTGCTCGCAGGTCAAGATTTATGGTCACTCTGATGCGCACAGACACACTGTAAGCCCCACATGCACACACACATAATCGTAAATCAGTGGCGCGAAGGCTAATGAACTATGGATCTTGAGTTTTTTTTTTATTTGGTCACACATTTAAGCCCTCACACACACCTTTTCTCCTCTCATTCAACCTCTCCACCCACACACACACACACACACACACACTGGTACACACACTCTGACAGGCTTTATTTGGCTCTTGTCGGTCACTCTCCATCTGCTGGTCAGATGATCAATGCTAATGCCTGTTGAGAGTTCTAATGACACACAGATCTATACACAGATGGACTGTGCGTTTGCTCCTGTGCTTGTGTGTGTGTTTGAGCCTTGTGCACGTGTGTGTGGGCGTCCATGTGTGCATGCTTGTGCACATGGGCTAATGTTATTTGTGTTTAGAAATTGCAATCCTTTGATGAGAACAGGTCAGCACTATTGTTATAAATGAGAGTAAGATTGCAGGGAGGTGACCTCTCTTACCTCACACACGGAGACGCACTCCTGCACACACACACGCATACACACATGCGCACGTTGCTGTTTTGCGCTATTGGCAAGTGGAATTAGTAAATGTATGAGCTACACAGAAACTCATTACAACACGATTAGAGACAAACCTCCCATTTAATCTCATTTAGAAAAGGGTGGTTGCCTGTCAAACACACTCACGCACACTCACACTAACTCACTTATGGGCATGCACAAACACACACTCATTTGTACAACTTGTACACACACAAACATTACCCTCTTCGTATGAGTGACAGCAGGGATGTTTGTCTGACTCATAAAAGGATACTCTTATAATCATATGCTCAAACCAGTGTGTACGCACAGTGTTTAAATGACACAGTGAGTCTTATACATGCATGTTTATACCATACCCCCATTAAAAAACAGAGATTTCTCTACATGTGGCACTTCGACTCCTCCCTTCCTCACCCCCCATCTGTGCCTCGTGTCACCATTTGCAGCGCATACTTGGTAAACCTCACCGTCTCAAGCTCCAAACACTGTAGCACAAGCTGACATAAATGCAAGCACAAAATATGGGTACACAAACACATAGGCTGCTGACAGATGAGTTTTTATTTTTGTCTGTATATTCTCTCTGCTGGCAGTTCAGACACATACACACTCATATATATATTTATATATAAAGAAAATATGTACACACACACACACACACACACACACACACACACACACACACACACACACACACACACACACATATACAGTGACCTTCTCTCTGCTGAGTAGGCAAAGAGTCAGGGGTCACTGCCTGCTGTCAGCCTGTCAGAGAGGGGAAGTAAGGAGAGGCAGAGGAAGAGCAAACGTGGTTGGAGGAATGTACAGAATGGAGCTCCTCCGCCCCATCATTCAATAAAGACTAATGCAATCAGAGGCGGCCCATATCTGTCACGGTTAATGTTGGCTGATAGAGTCGCAGCAATTTAAAACGCTCATGGTATAATGCATTTCCCTGTGCCTCTTACAGGCTGATGATGCATCACATCACGCCCTGATGGTTATTGTAGAAACAGATAACCTGCTCTGCAGCTGGCTGAATGAGGCCTCCATTATGCCTGACCATCTTGTTCGTTTTTATCTTAATCGGTTACAAAGAAATGTCATTCTGTAATCCATTTAAAAAAACTAAGTTACCTGAAGTTCACTGATCAATCATAGAGGATTAATCCACATAATTATATCCTCTGTTATGATTTTGTCAAGCAAAAGCAATGCTCACACAAAGGCCTCAAAGAATGTCCGTCACTCGAGCAATCACTTTCTCACAATGGATGTTTTTTCCATTGTGAATATATTCCTGGAAAATCGTTGATACAAAATTCTCTGCACAAGCACTTCTTACAATGAAAGAGTCGTGGAAATGCTGTTTCACTAAACAAGACAAATTGTGCCTGTGTGATGAGATACTTTCAACCTGTTTCTAAATCAATAAATGTGTTAAAAAATGTGCTGACTTATTAGAAAGGGGTTGAAATAATCTGACTGCATTGGGAGATATTTACTTTAAATATTTCAAGATGACAATAATGTATATATAGGCTCAATTGACACATTACTTGATACAATATATATTTTTTTAAATAATAGTTTATAATGACATTCCACCGCATTTGCTTTCATTTCTAATGGGTTTATTGTTCTACTAATTAGGCTTTCTTTTTCTCTGCCAAACTGATTTTCCAAGCTAGAATAAATGTGCCGTCCTTTATCAAAACCTTTTTTTCCCATTAACTTTAATTTTCTGCAGTTAATGATCTCTTCATGTGATTTTTTTCCTTTGTGTATGTTGCTCTTCGCTTAAAACTTGTTTCACCAGAATGTTCCGTGTTTTTCCTCATTGCATAGGGAAGAGATGGAAGAACGTTATTATTTTATAATGCCATTTGGTCCAAAAGGTCAGCCTGGCCCGGGGATTGGGGGAGGGAGATAAGGAAGGGGGAAGAAGTAGAGGAGGAGTAGACTTTGAGAAGGTTTGTGGAGGGGTGGCGGTGGTGGACAGTCCAATTGGATACCAGGTGCTGATGTTGAGATTGTTTCCATAGTAACTCCTCCTCCTGCTCCTCTCATTCTCCCCACTTCCCTCTCCAACACTCCCCTCACACATAAGAGCACACAGGGAAAAGAAAGTGCATAACTCCATGCTTATCCTGGTCTCTGTGGTAATCAAATTCTGCTCTAATATATGTCGCTCAAATCAATGTTAGCCATCTTGCTCCAGCTGTGTGGTCCTACAATATACCGTGGATCATACGGTAAAGCTGCCTTCTGCCAGTTGCCGGCCTTGCTGGAGCAAATACATGTCACTAAAACAGTAAGCAGCCTGTACAATCTCACTCCAAACAGATACACGTAATGACATCTACAGTACAAAAACAGGAGCGATGTAAATGTTGAGTGGACGGCTGCAAACCGTTATGTTCTGAATGCTGCTCCATTCATCGTGTCTGTATAGTGTATCTTGAATCGGGAACTCAGATCAGGTCAGGTCTATTCTTTTTATTGGAGGACCCAACCTTCACTAGCCAATTTTATAGCTCTACTCTTACAAACACAAGTCCAAAGTGAGTGTTAATGCAGAATAAAGCAGAGTGAACTCTGATGTGCTTGCTCGTCAGAGACAGACATACAGATTGAGAGAGAGAAAGAAAAAGCAGCAGCAGCTGTCCCAGGGAGCCCAGGGAGGGCACCTCTGAGCTGGGCTCCTCACAGCTGTATTCCAGGCTGGAAAAAACCCCTGTGTGTTTCTCTGTGTGTGTTTGCTGATGATTTTGCATTGGATTGTGGGATTATTTTAGCATATTTGTACATGTAGCAATGTAAACACGCTTTATACACAAAAGTATACACCTGAACAATACAGGTGTTTGTCCTAATGCCTCAAGCAATATGTAGTCTAGGGCACAACAATCAAATACATAACATACTTTAAATGCGTTATTATTATTTGCTTTACATTTATTTGTTCTTATTATTTGTATATATTATATTGTTTTTTACTAATAGTATTAACCCTTCACTGTTAAATAAACAAATATATAGCTTGTACTGTATATGTATGCAAATGTTCATTTTATCTCCTAATATTGATATATATTTTTAAATATACATTAAAAATAATAATATTTCATGGAATAATATTCATATCTGACCAAATTACAAGTAAACCTCGGTGGTATCTCATTCATTATATGGCTAAAAGTGTGTGAATGCTCAACCATTTCACTGGCATCATGTAATTATTGAACACATTTAAGAAACCTTGGGCATGAATGTGTTGCTATAACAGCCGCCACTCTTTTAAACTATCAAGGCTATCCAAGAGATTTTCGAATCTGGCTGCAGATTCCACTCAGCTCTCAATTGGCATCCCAGTTTATCCCAAAGGTGCTGGTTAGAGCTGAGGTCAGTGCTCAGTGCAGGCAAGTTAAGGCTTTTCTTACCAAACTGGGAAAAAAACATGTTATTATGAAATTGATAGTGTGGGCAATGTAAGGTGAAACTGCAAAAAGCTTTCCCCCAAACGGTTGCTGAAAAGTTTGTTATACAATTGTATTTGTAAAATTGGGATTTCATTAATTGTTTGTTTTTTGTCCAAAATATAAAGCGTAGTGGGCATAAGTACAGTGACAATCTTCGTTGTGTTTAGCCATGTACGGGGTATTCGTCTGTTCATATGAATTAGGCGTGTGTTCTGTATGAGTGTAACTGTGTAAGGGAGAAACAGAAACAGATGGATGTCTGTTTTCCTTTTCATTTCACCCCCTACACACTTCATTGAATCGCTGACTTGCTTACAGACGCTCCTGAAGCACTGGTAACGGCCATCGTCACTGTCACTCACGGATTTAATCATTTGGTTCTACCCCGGTTCTCGCCTTATTTTCTGCCTCCGGTAATTGCGTTTCTGTTTCGTGCGGGCGGTAAGTGCGCGCTGTCCAAGGTGCTGCAGCAGCGCGTAGCCCCGCCCATCCCCTCTACATCACTCTCTCACACACACACACACACACACACACACACACACACACACACACACACACACACACACACACACACACACACACACACACACACACACACACACACACACACACACACTCCTTCTCTCTCTCTCTTGCGTCCACGTGACTTTCCCTCTGCCGAGTCTCGCGAAGAGCATCAGACTGCACCTTTTCCCTCTCAAGAGGACGGAGAGAGAAGAGAGAGAGAGAGACATTGAGTTAAAACAGAGAGAGAGAGATAAGGAAGGAGAGCTAGAAAGAGAGAGAGAGAGCGGGAGGGAGAGAGAGAGAGCGCAAGCGAGGGGGAGAGCAATAGCACCTTGTCGCCTGGAGGCGAGCCTGTGATAATTTTGTCCCTGTTCGGTAGACCGGCTCTATCTACCACCAGGCGCGCCGGTGCTCTCTCCTCTCTCGCGCCTTTGAAATCCTTCTCAGATGGAAAGGGAAATCGATGGGTCGCGCGCCGCACTGTTGTCACGGAACCACCAGATGTGCGTGAGGTAGGTCGGTTTTCTAACCTAGATATGTGCCTGCATTGAGGGAATCCGCTGTTCATTAACCGGGGCGGGGCTGTCACATCACAGTTACAGGTTGGGATGTAGATTAACACAGTACGTGATAAAAAAAATGAGTAATTACCGTGTTACTGCTTAGCTGAGCTGTAGTTAAATGCTAGGGCGCGCAGGTGATGAGACTGAACCCCAGTGTAGTGAAGGAGCGGGCGTGGGGGAGAAAAAATGGAGAGGAGCTATGGCCGCAAATCGACAATCGATATTTCAACCGCATTCATTCACCCCGTCTATCAATAACCGTGATGTTGCCGCTTTTCGTCTTCGAAAGGTTCGCGGAGAATAAACTAGGCTATGTGTAGCCAACTGTGTGTGTGTTTGTGTGTGTGTGTGTGTGTGTGTGTGTGTGTGCGCGTGCGTGTGTGTGTGTGTGTGTGTGTGTGTGTGTGTGTGTGTGTGTGTACAATGCAACCCATGTTTGTTATGTTGGGTGAGAATGTGTTCAGTTGTTGGAAATGAGCTCCGGAGACGTTAATTCGATAACGCGAGGCGAGTCATCCGCCGCAGCGCGCGGTGCTGCTCCCGCTCTTTGTGAACAGATTCGTTGACAGAGGCGCGAGGTGGCCACCGCTATTACTAAACATAAATAACTCCGATACAATCATTTAATAAATAACTTAAAATAAGCACACTCGGTTTCGTTGTCACTTCATATACTGTCAACGTCAAGTTTCGAAAGTGATAAAAAACATGTTCTCATCATGATGTTAAGGCGGTCGCAGGTAAGCCACCTTATACAAATCTCCTGCGGCATGATGGGAGATCTACTGAGGAGGTGCTTTGTGTGTATGTCTCTGTGTGTGCCTATACTGTACTTGTTTATCCCAGTCTATGGTTTATCCACAATCCTTGATGCTATTGTGTTTGTTAATTATTTTTTATAAACACTCATGATCTGGGCCTGTTCAATTTGTAAGGAGACAATGTGATGTCTGTGTCTGTGTCTTTGTCTGTGTGTGTGTGTGTGTGTGTGTGTGTGTGTGTGTGTGTGTGTGTGTGTGTGTGTGTGTGTGTGTGTGTGTGTGTGTGCAAAAATGCAGGAGAGGGTAATTTGAGAATAATAGCAGGCTCGTATTTTGTGTGTGTGAGAGTGTGCATAATTGTTTACGTGTGTGTGCGTGTGTGCGTGTTTTTTTGCGTGTGTGACCCTGGTTGATTGTGCCGTCTCTGTTCTCTCTGTAGGTCGCTGGAGAGAGTGATGACGTGGCAGTGAAAGACGCACATACCTCACTCAAACACACTCACACAGATATTTGCCCACACACTCTTTTATTCTTGCCCTACTAGGATAGAGAGAAGGGGTGAAGTTCAGCTATGACGGCGCCATTTCTCTCCATTACCAATGTGTGAGCCACACACCCACACACACACACACACACACACACTCTCATACTCCGTGGGGAGTTGGCTTCATGGGGGATAAGGCCCTATCTAGGGCACAAAGATGGAATTCACATTTGTCACTTATTTAACACTCACACAGATGAACACACAGATACACACTCCTGGAATCTCATATGTCAGAAGTGAAGAATGAAAGACTGAATGGAGAGGAGGCATTGATCGTATCAGAGAACACACAAACACCAGACCAAGGCAGAAGAAGATTCACCAAGAGTGCTGAAAGGACAGAGGGAGCTGCTGCTTGACCCCTTTCCCTACTGGGGCTGTATCATATAGAAGCCTCGCTCTGTGAAGAGCACTACCAAAAAAGCAGGGTGCACCTGAGCCACAAAGAAAGGGTTCCACCAAGTGCCCTGCAGTTGTCACAATGAGCTGTAGGCTAGAGGGAACACCCCAGCTCTAGCCTCTATCTCCTCCAGTGTGTGTGTGAGTGCGAGCGCGAGTGTGTGTATGAGTGTCATGGCGGTGTGTGTGTGGGCGGCAGCCCCCCTGCTCTTCCTGGGGCTGTGCCTGTGCAGCGTGGGGGGCCAGGCCCATGGGGAAGCCCTGGAGTTTGGAGGAGTGTCCAGCCAGTGGGGGCGGTTTCCGGTGTGGAACGCCTGCTGCGAGAGTGTGCTGAGCTTCAGCCTGCGGACTCACAGCCAGGAGGGCCTGCTGCTCTACCTGGATGATGAGGGTTTCTGTGACTTTCTTGAACTGTTGCTTCTCCACGGCCACCTCCGCCTGCGCTTCTCAATCTTCTGTGCTGAGCCAGCAGAACTGCAATCAGGTGTGGCTGTGAGTGATGGGCACTGGCACGCAGTGCGTGTCAAGAGGGACTGGAGGAACACCTCTTTGGAGGTGGACGGACGACTGGAGGGTTGGGCGGAAGTGAAGAGCAAGAGAAGAGACATGACCGTATTCAGCCACACCTACATAGGCGGGGTGACGCCAGAGCTACACTCCTCGCCGCTGCGCCTCACATCCCCTTCGGTACGGGAACACCCCCCCTTTCGTGGCTGGATCACGGGGGTGAGCATCAACGGCACACAATCGACGTTGGAGAGCTCAGGGGGCGTCACAGTAACAGCTGGCTGTGGGCCGGACCACCAGTGCCAGAACGGAGGGGTGTGCAGCGTGGTCAACGACCAGGCCGTTTGTGACTGCTCCGACACCGGTTTCCAAGGGAACGACTGCAGCGAAGGTAAGGCCCAGAACCATGCTGACCCATCATATGTACATCTCATACTTTACATTAACACAATTGCACACAGACATACACACACTTACATCTGTGGATCCATATCAAAATTATACTTCCAACTCAAAAAGTCCTTCAGTGTAGACATCTATTTTTCATTCACACCCTCACAGCTGCCTTTCAATTGGTGCCTATGGACCTGCAGCCTTCACAACAGTGCAAAACATGCATACTGAATATGTTTGATATTGATTTTTCATGGCTGCCAATGAATCCTAATTTAGTATGAACCTCCATAACGAAACCTCTTTACAACAAGTGCAGTCCTTTTAGTTGAGCTGGGGCTTAGTGCTTGACAACAGCTGTTGCAGTCAGACTATCAAGCTCAAGAGTCTGGAGATTTGAGACAAGTTACCCGAAAATCACTGTAAACCTGGCTGGTCGTGTCAAGGCCTTGATGGGCTCAGTTGGTGTGTTTGGCAAAACACAATAACCATATGGATCCTGTATGGATGTGGTTGTTGGCTCGTGTTGAAAGACTTTAATTGGAACTAGGCTAAGAGGCTGGAAATCGGTGGTCGTTACATGGCTGACACCTGGCTGCCTGTGTTAATGGATTTGCATTGATTCAAGATGGCCTTCACAAGATCAATACATAGGGTGAAATGAAGTGTATACAATATATGGCCTGCCAATAACTTGGACAGCATGCAGCCTGATAAGATGCCCTGTGTGTGTGTGTGTGTGTGTGTGTGTGTGTGTGTGTGTGTGTGTGTGTGTGTGTGTGTGTGTGTGTGTGTAGTATGTGTTCTTATGCAGTATTAAAGAGGAAAACATGTCTTGTCAGTAGTACTTGATAAATATAAAGAACTTTGAAAGTAAACAAACTTTTATGTTGAAGTGGCAGAAGACAAATGCTGTTTCGCTAATATTTTAATGTCTCAACTCTACAAGAACGCCCTCCCTTAATAATGTCAAACAAGCCTGTGGTCAATACAAGTTCCATTATAGAGGGCACTGTAATGTTGGCCATTAGAAAAATGAAACAGCTGTTTAATGAACTCAGCCACCTTGTTATGGGCAGTACTGCAAATGCTTTCATCTCCGTGTGCCTTGGCAGTGTGTGTCATCAGATTCGCTTCAGTTCATTCAGAGCCAATCTGCATTCTTAATCGTTAGCGCTCCCCATTCCTATTCTTTTTTCTTTTTGATGCCAGCGATACCTTCCAGCTTTCGCCTCAGCGATTTACATTTTTAAATGACACAAATGCATCTGCCAAAGAGTGGCCTTGCCGTATATGCGCTTGTCACCGTTTGTCACCGACCTGACCTCACACTCCACCCAGCACCACTGTCAGTATCACACCCCCCTTTAGCCACCCACTGTATCACACCCTAGCATTTAGTGGACACTGGGATGGCCTAGGTAACCATGGAGACAGGACTAATAGGGAGACCTCATGCCAGCAGTGTTTCTCCGTCCTTGCTCTTACGTCCTTCCTCCCTACCCCCATTCCTTAGCTCCTTGCTGCCTAGAGCTGCCTGCAGCCGCCTGCAGCTGCCGACAGCTGCCTCAGCTTGTAGTGACTTCAGGCATCATGTTTGACACAAATCGGCTGTATTTATACATGTGTGTGGTAAGGAGTATGTGTGTTTGTATGTTTATGTATGACAGGCATCCTCAGGGCTATAATGGCTGCCTTGACCTCTGGTGTTAAGTATTCAAGCAGGTGGGGAGGGTAGCTGGTTGATTATGCTCACTTGTGCTGGAATTAACTGAGAGACAATTATGATTTAAATAGAATTAGTCAGAGAAAAATTCAAAAATAACTGATCAAAACTAGTTTTCCAATGCGTATTGTCAAATTACATTTGATAGTACATTATATTTCTAAGAGTTTTGGACAGAATGTTGAATAAAACAAGCTAACTGATCAGATCACTTTGGGCTGTGCAAAATTCTTAGACATAAATCGAGAAAATAATCTGCGGATGATGAAAGTTTTTTTTAATTTTGTCAATCAATTTATGGTTAGAATGATCTTCCATGAAAGAAGATCTGTCAAATATTTCACTCTTTTCTCTGTTTTATATCAAATTAAACTGAATATCTTTGGGATTTGTACTGACAAAATAATACATTTAAACACATCTTTTAAGATTAAAAAACAGGCATTCAAATCTCCCTTTTAGAGACCAAATGATTAGTCAATTATTCTAGAAAATTATTTCATAATGAAATTCATTGCAGTCTTACATTTAAAATGACTTGTAAAGCAAAACTGCTAAACAGCTATGGCTTTACATACTGTATTTTTGTAAATGTTTCAACTTTAAAGGCTGGCTGTTGTTCTGACAAGAAAATAAATGTTATAGACTTAATGATTAACTGATTACATCAAATTATTAAACGATAAATAAAAAAATAAAATAAAAATTCTGCAGCCCTAGTGCTCTCTTCTTCGTTTAGTGACAAGCGAATCTGTGATCAGCTCTGCAGAAACTCTGTGCTGCCCCCAGAGTTCTGAGTGATCCGAGCCGGTCTAATGCAGTTTGCTGTTTTTTTGCCTCTGGTTAGGGCACATTGGGAGACACAGACAGCACTGACACACACCTGCACACACACATGTAGCACAAACATGCAAACACCTGGAGAAACACATTGGTAGTGTGCAGACTGCAGCACAACCATGAGTCACATCAGCACTGAGGCACCTAGCAGCAGTGCAGCTCTACAGGCAAATAAAGAGGTGCAGACATTTTATATAAAAGCTCTCTCTAGTTACAATAACTGCTTTGGACTGGCAATTTGCTGCTTGACAAAATTATATTTATTAGTCTATGTTTTAAATATATGTTCCTGGGAATGGAATCACCTTTCAATTGTGAGTAAGTGCGGGCAAAAATATATGTTTTTCCCTTTGTAATAGTGGCCGTTGTCAGTAATAGTAATCTCATAAAGTTATTCCATTTATGAGGTGTGCTTGGATGGATGTACACGGGGTGAGAAGTGCTATATTTAGTATTAGTAATTTGCTATAATGTGAAATCATACGGTATTATCAGGGCTGGCTTCGACTATTCACAGTTTGGGTAGAAATTGCTGCAGGGTTTTAGAGTATAATGTTAGATGATGGTGGAAATTGAAAGTAGCTTAATGGCTGGTTTTAAAAGGTTACTTCATACTTCATCATATCACTTCACTATTCCAGTGAACACGAAGCCTTCCAGACAGAAATAAACAGCAGTAAATGGAGCCAGTTAACAAAAAATAAACCACGGACACGGAGTGCAACAACATCTTGAGATTATTTCCGATGCCTGGGTCCTTTCACAGACCTTTCTGAATCATCAAACTTGTTCTCTGAAAATAGTTCAGACTTACAGAGAGGTCTTAGTGGAGAATAGAGCAGATGGTGTATCCTTAGCGGAGGGTTTACTTTTTTTTGGAGTGCTGTGTTTTGGTATATAATGCTTTATTTTTTAAATTGGACATGTACATGGAACAGGTACTGCTGTTCATTTTGGTCTGAAAAGTTGAGGGCTCAGTCAGTGGGAAATATCCAACCACACGATCTGCAGGCTGAGCTAATAATATTCACGCATAAGTTAACATTACCAGTGAGGATCCCAATTAATCATACGTCAGAAACCTCTCTTCAGGTGCACTAACGCACTCTGGAGAAGAGGAAGATTGTGTCTTAAAGAAATTGAGTTGATGGCAAGAGAGAGCGCAATAAGAGCTATGGTAAAAATCCCTCTTTGAATGAAGAAAAAAGTAGTAATGTTCAGTGATTTAAATGAATGTATGTACTGGAGCATAGCTGTCTCGTTGGTAATAGGTATTATTTATGAGTCATGAGTACTGCGCAGTTCTTTTGTCAGCGAGGCAGAGTTTGTATAAGGTTATCTTTTATATGGAACCTTGAAATTATTATGTTTTTTGAAGCCGTCAACCTCACTGAACAATAAAGCTTTGAGATGAAATTATAACCCTCTGAATATGAGAGGGAAGAAAAGTCGGTTGTTGATCTTTTACACAGAATGAGTATGTTTTGCTTGAGGAAATAAGGGATCATTAGGACTGTGTTAGGACCAATACATTAGTAATTTGACTGTGGCAGCGCTAGTTTCCATTCACGTTTACAGTTACACAATATCTCCATGGTTCAATTATAATAAATGTTTAGTATAAGCAAAAAAATATATAGCGTAAGCATTCTTTATCCCCAGATTGACAGTATTGAACATATTCCATAGCAGTATTCCTTACCAGGAAAGGGTTGTGTTTTAAAGAACATCAATATCTTATACATCAGTTTTTGAGAAAAATAATACGATTTTGTAGATGTAGTGAAGATATTGTGGGCAGGCCTATGCATAAATGCAATTACTGTCAGTGTCAAGCCATTCTGCCCTCCAGTGAAGGCAGAGTGAACCGGGCTTGTTAGGCCTGGCCTGGCTTGCATTGTTCTTGAGGGCAAATTGCTGTTAGCATGCTAATGGCTCCACCTGTTTCTGCCATGCTACTAGCACAAGGGCAGAGGCACAGAAACTCTCAGATGAGCACACACTGACACGCAATTTCACAAACATACACAGACATGCGCATACACACACTGTGTCCCAGTATTGAACCATGCATGCCCCTTGTCTTCCTGCACTGCTAATCTACCCCTACATATTTGATATTTTCCTGCTATTTCACATCATTAATACTACCATATTCAATGTTAGTGTGTGTGTGTGTGTGTGTGTGTGTGTGTGTGTGTGTGTGTGTGTGTGTGTGTGTGTGTGTGTGTGTGTGTGTGTGTGTGTGTGTGTGTGTGTGTGAGAAAGGCGGAGAGAGTGAGAGAGAGGTTGTGGGACTGAATGCGCGCTGTGTGTGTGTTGCATGCTATCTGTCGGGGGGCTCTGGGGAGAGGAAGCGGCCTGCAAGGTAAGTTCTGGGGTAAACGGCTCTTGAATCGAAACATACAGGTAGGAGAGTATATATTCGCCCACACCCCCTCCACCCTCTGTATCTACAAGTGTGGGTGGGTATGTGTGTGACCCCCTTTTTAAAAAAATGCATATGTACACATGTGGAGTCCGACAGAGAGATTGTGCTGTTTATATTCAGACAAACCTCCGTGTTGGCTACCAGTGCAGCATGGTATTCATTGTGACGTTTGCGTGGACTTTGCATGTGTGTTACCACGGTAACCCTGGACGGGTGTGCATGTACAGTAAGTACCCATGGTAACCCAAGGGCTTAGCATGCATGTTAATGAATGTCTGTCTCTCTCTTTCCTCGCCCGGCCGCAACACCTATCCAGAGCACAGCTACACTCCAGGTAGGTTGCACTTCTATCGATCTGACTTTCTCTGTCGATCTGTCTGTCATTATTTTTACTTTTTTCAAACACCTCTTCCTCTTTTTCATTTTTTATTCGATTTATTTCTCTGTTGTCATCTTTTCTCTCTCCCATTTATATCTTTTTCATGGCAGTCTTGTCCTTTACTTTCTTCTTTCTGGCCTTCATGTGCTCATTAAATCCTCTATTGTGGGAATACAGATCAAGGTAGACAGCGTAAATGTATGTAAGTCTGAGTGGGTATGTAGGGATTGGATGCTGACATCTGGTAAGTTCCACATCCCATGTGCATTCATCTGAAGTGGCTCTTGCCTCAAGGTTACAGAGACATACTGTAGGAACACACACACATACTGTATACGAGCAGCATTGTGCAGACCTGTGTGCGTACCTGTTAGTGCGTAGGAACGCAGCCTAGGATGAGTAAGTGTTTTCAATGCAAGCTTTTTTTTTTAGACATTTTGAATAATTTAGAGAACGAGCAACACATGCACAGACACTTTTGCACAGAGAAATCTAGCCTTCACCAGCATGTCATTGACAAACTCCTGTATGACAACAACACATATGCACAAACACACACACACTTCACGCTCCATGATCCTTTGCTGTGCTGACTGTGCTCTTGTCTTCCTTTAAGGTCTGGCACACCTGATGATTGGCGACCAAGGTATGGCATCCTCTTACCTCACTTCCTGTTGTCCTCTGCTATACCATCACCCCCCTACCTCCTCACCCCTACACTCACAACTCCCTGTATCCCCGCCCCCAATTCATCACCACCTGGCGCGGGAGGAAGTTGTCTCTCTAGGCACTGAACTAAGGTCAGTTTCTTTTCTTTAATTGAGATTTCTTCCTTTATAAAACGGTCCCATTTGGTCTCATCAGGAATTTCAGTTTGAATTTAAACTGAAATAGATGATTTGGGCATTTGCAAGTGGAGCAATTATATAATAATAAATGAAATATAGCCCTTAAAAAAAAAGATTGGTTTGATTTGTGAAGAGAGTGATGAGCCTGAGAGCAACTTCTGCTGGGATATATAATATAACCATGGGGAGAGAGGCTTTCGATTGGCTGTGGCTCGACGGTGCTTTGCTGGGTTAGACTTGGCAAGGCTCCAGGTCATGGAAATGGAGCTACTGACCGACTGACTTCCATGGATGGTTTGAAATTGGTCTTTACTCTTCCACCTCATTTCATTTTCTCTCATGTGTATGTAAGAGTTTGATTGAGAGAATGGGAGTGTTTTAGTGTGTGTGATGTATACATACATGTGCATGTGTGCTTTTACATCATGGTTTGAATCATTGACTGTGGCAGTTTTCAGAGGAACACTCCACATTCATCCATGGCTTTTTAATCGGCTTCCAGCATGTCTCGCTTTGCTGTCGCTGGTCTTCACATCGGCGAGCATATGTGATTTTCAACCGATCTTCCTGTGTTTTAAATCACTGCCTCAACCCCCGATTTGTCCAGTGTTATTCACACCCTCCGAAAAAGTAACACTGTTCTACCTATTGAAAATTGTCCACCGATCAACACGCTCTCTTTTCTTGCCCTTTTTCTCCCCCTTTTTTTTTTCTTCCTTACTGCCCTTCTTTCTCAATATTTGGGACACCACCCTCTGTGATTTTAGGAGAACTCAGAGGTACCCCCACCCCTTGATTTATTTTTCCATGTATGGCTAATGGGCTGTGGTGGGTGGTGTTGAAATTGAATTCATTGACAGGCCCCTGTATGTATGGTAATGCTGACCTTTAGAGTGGTTCCGCTTCAAGTTCTCATTTTTCGGTTGCCATTGAATTGGAATGTTTCATTTTTGGTAAGGTAAGCTGTGTGTGTGAGCGTGCTCATACTAAAGTGTGCGTGTGGACGCGGCTGAGCTCCAGCCTATGGTGCTTTTGAAAATCTGTGAAGGTAGGTGCTGCTGGATCGGTCGGCTCCGCATGACGCTGATGAATACACTGATTGACCCACATAAAAGACAGGCCTGACCGTGACAGGCTGATCTGCGTCTATTGTGCTCTTTGATTGGATGAGAGAGGACCTGATGGCGGCTGTCTCCCATTGTGACAGCCATGTATTCGCTATTCCTATTTAATGAAACCTCATCCAGGCTTGTGGATGGAAATATCTTGAATAGAGCAAAAATGATGCCTTCATTCATCTATCACAGTTAGACATCTCTACTCTGACAAGTATATTTCTTCCTGAGCATTTTTGTTGTGTTTTGATTTGCTAAGTAGAATGCTACAGCGAAGTTTCTGCCTTTTAAAACGTCTGGCATGAATCATCCAGGTGGCAGGGAAAATGTAATTGCTTCATCTGGCTTATGCTCAGCATTTTAAATCACCTACTTAAGGACCGACATGTATTAACATATGTTCTGGCATTAATACACAATGTATTCAGTGTATTTGTGTATAGTGGATGCTCTCACTATTATGGATGTTTGGATTTTGATATGCTGAATGTAGTGCTGTGGCTGATTATTTTATATTGTTTTGTTTTTTTAAAACCTTTGAAGTATCTTTTAGAAACTGTGTGTGTGTGTGTTTAAGTGTGTTTTTGCTCTGCATACTAAGGAGTAAAGGCTGTCAAATGGCGCAGATGAAGCCTAGCTTAGGTTAGCTCAGCGTAAAGAGGCTTTTTGAGGAGCCCGCAAAGCTGAAATTAGTTTCTTTGAGGGGGTGGATTGGGTGTGGGGAGGGGGGCCTTAGAAAGATATATAGCCTGTGTGTCTGCTTGTGTGTGTGTGTGTGCTGGAGAAATTGAGAAAAAGCGACTGTGCCTGCCTGTGAGAGAAGAGCTAAAGGAATGAATGATAGCGGGAGTGGAGAGGGAAAGAGGAAGCGAGGGAGAGATAAAGTGAGTCGTCTTCTCTCCTGTGATGTAGAGCAACTGGCTGTATCTGCAAAGGGACAGCGGTGCTCCCGTCTGCCCTCCCAGCCCCGTCATTCTGCAAGGGACATCAGTCCTGATGAGGAGCCCTGGACCTTTCCCCTGCTCCATAAAACACAGCTATCATTCTCCCTGGAAACGATACCCACAGATCACTAATCACTTTGAGAGGGTGAAGAAAGAAAAGAGGGAACCAAATTGGATTTTCATAAGTATGGAGCAGCCAAAGGAAGAGGGGGGAAATGGATTTTTGTTGTGCTTTTTTTGAAAAGTATTGAGCAGCAATAATCTGGATGGAAAATGTGCTTAAAGCCAAGTAGCAGATTTTGCCCTTTCTGTTCTCTCTGTCTGGCCAAGAATAGACCGTGAAGGGTCCTGGGTGAATGAGCGATTGTAGGTTCTGAATAGGATTGAGGAGTGGCTCTTGGAATTGGCAGCGATGCTCGTTTATGGTATTTATTTATATGTTTTTAGCCTTGAGGCGAGGTTGTCCGGTTAATAACGGTGGTTTGTCTGCATGTCCAAGAGTTCTCGATATCAATCCAATAATCTGTGCATGGCATAGACAAGTGGTCCGCCTCGCTTGAAGTGACCTTTACACTTGCGCTTACGTGAACGGACGGACAAACAGACACTCACACACACTCACGCGCAATAACCTTTAGAGAGTGCCCGCTGAGTAGGTGAGTGAGTGTGTGTTCAGTGTAAATATGCATGAGTAAGGCTGCCTGCACACATTCTTCACGGTCAGTGGATGAAGGCAGGACGGAGAACGAGGTGCGTGTGTTTCAGTATGTTTGCGTGTTGTGTGCGGGTGCATGAGTGTATGTTAAAGGGAGGTGGATTGTGAGTCATCATTTGTGACTCATAAAGCGTCGGCAATCAAAGCGGCACACTTTAACACATTGTCTTATGGCAAAAACACACAGATGGACTCACACTCCCCTACACACACATGCTCAGTGTCACACTGTTTGGATCTCTTTATAATTGCCTCTTTTGTTTTTGTCCCTTCCCCTCACCCTTCTTTCATCCCGAACATACACATTTGCGTGCTTTTCTCATAAAAACACACACACAAACACACAAACACACACATACAAAAAGGGCGGGCTCTGTGCTGACTCTACCATATGTGGGACTGGGAGTGCTAGCAGACGCCAAGAAAAGAGGAACCAGTCAGTACCAGCAAAGTACATCATGTTTCCTCCCTCTTACTCATCATTACCTAATAATACATCGCACTATAGGAGAATATAATACAGGCACTGAAACTAAACTGGAAAACATTTTCCATTACTATGATACTAAGTGGTGTAGTGCCCAAATCATCATCAGAAATTAGATCAAATAACCATTTTAATAAATAATTAACTATAAAATTGAATTGTTTCGAACAAAATTCAATATTTCCTAATGCCAGCCAAAAAATAGGATATAAAGGGGATTTTATTCATATTTCATCGTTGTAAGAAAAACACCAACAATATACAAAATCATCTACAACTTTAAGTAAATAATAATGTAATATACTACATATTTGCCAATGAAAGATATTTTTGCGACACACATTATCCACTGTAGCTTTAATGCTTTCATAGTTTAGCAAGATGGGCAAGTGAGCAGCACTGCAGTCGAGGTGAGAGCGAGAAACTTGGTGTTAAGAGTCAAGTGTTTGGTGATTGGCTGCCTTCCCAAGTGACTGGCATGAATTTGGCCACTGATGGCATCATCTTGAGCTGTGAATTTAAAAAAAAAAACTGTTAAAACTAAGTTTTGCCCCCTCTGGCCATTAGCAGTGATAAAAGTAATTGCAAGAAAGTTTTTAACTGCAAAATGCACAATTTGTCTACATATACACTTTCAATGTAATGGGAATAATTCTGCCTGTACTCTCTGCTACTAACACCCATTACAGTCTGTACTACAACACTCATTAATGCTTAACACCTATGCAGCTCTTGTAATGAAATTCACAGCACCACATACAGAGCTCTACCCCACATTATCAGAGAGATGCACAGTTACAGAACTCACTATGGGGAATGTAAAGCAATCCCACCAGTAAATGTATACATTTACTGGTAATTGTACGCAATTACCATCCAGTTTGCAAGTAAGCATTAACATATTCGCGCATTCACCACAACGTTAATGGGACACAAAGCTGATGCACCCTTTTAACACCTAAAAATAAAGACATCAAACGGACTCCCCGTTTACCAAGGATGAAGAAAAAAGATAGAGCTGAGGCTCGCTGCAAGGTGTAAGGGAGGGGTGGGCAGGATAGGGTGAAAAGAGTGTAGAAAAGTGATGGTGAGGAAAGATAGGAGCGCATTCAGAAAGTGGGGAAAGAGAGGTGGAAAGAGAAGGTCGGAGACGCAGAGGGAGACAGGAAGGGAGATAAGACTGCAGCGTTTCTCAGCAGGGGCGCTGCATCTCTCCTTGGGCTCCCCGACTTGACACAGTCTCGCATCAGCCAAATTTCATGAGTGATGCAGATACCTTATTCTTGCACACACACACTCCCTTTATAGAAAAGAAAAGGAAAGAAAACAGGCACGTCGGTGCTCCAATTATCTACCTGTTCCAGCACTTTCTGCGCTGTGTCTGAGGGTGCTGAGGGTAGTGGCCCAATTGGCGATTCACTTCAGTACCCCATCTGGCATTTGAAGTTCATTTATTTGCTGTTTGCCAAAACAAGAACAAACACATGAACAGGAAAGCACACACTCACACTCACAGGCGTTGCACACACAAACAGTCATTAACTTGTGGTGCTTGTCTGGAATAACTACAACAACTGAAATAGCCACAGCATTCATTAAAAACCCATTACATTACCTTTATGAAAAGAGGTCTTTATGCTCATGTTATTTGTTAACAACCTCCTGTAAGGGGTTTCATTAGCTGTTTGTGTGAGGGTGCAGTGTGTGTGTGTGTGTGTGTGTGTGTGTGTGTGTGTGTGTGTGTGTGTGTGTGTGTGTGTGTGTGTGCGTGTGTGTGCGCGCGTGCATGCGCGTGCATGTGTGTGTGTGCACATTTGCGTGTGTGCACAGTCTGAGAGGAACTGATAGCAGAACTGCATGGTGGGCTAAAAACGAGGTGCAGGGGAATTGCAGTGTGCTATCTCCAGAATGACAGGGCTGCCATGATTGAGGCTTGCTACACAAGGATTTAGATACACCAGCATTTTTCTCCCTTTCGTTCTCTCTAGCCATCCATCCCTCGCTCTATGCCACTCCCTTTCCTTGTCTCTCTTTCTACCCCTCTACCTCTTTCTCTTCCATTTTGTGTCGCCCATCTCAATGAGTCTCTGCGTCTCCCTTTATTTATTCCTTCTTCTCTCAAAACCCTTTCTTTGCATCTTTCCCCTTTTTCTCTACCCTGCATCTTTTCCACCCTGCTCCCTCCATCAGGTGCCGTATACTGTAATATAGGCTCCCCTGATGTGTTCCCAGCCTCCATCCGCCATTTTGATTCAGTACAGCTGTCCATGATAATGTACTGTTCACTCAATCACTATTTCTTTCCCTCGCCCTCCTTCCCCATCACTCTTCCCCTCTCCCTCCGAAACGCACATGCACGGACACATTTGCTGTAGCCCCTGTAACACGGGGTTGCCATGGAAATGAGAAATTAGTGTGTGAAATGTTGAGGAGGAGACCCATGAGGAGAGACAAAGACACACAGACACTCGCCTTACGCACACAAACACACAGATAAATCCAAGTGATGTGTGTTTGATCGGAGCAGGGGCGGCACAGTTGCAGCTGGTCCCAGTAGCAGCTACCACCAGATCAGTGTTCCTCTCTTTCTCTCCCCCTCACTCCCTCCCTCCCCACATGCTGCTTTATTCATTAGAAAACTGGTTTAATGACAGCCTTCAAAGTCCAATGCCAATGATCCTCCATCTTACATCCTTTTTCCTGTTCCCACTATAGCCTCCATACTAGGTCCTCGGTTATTTTGTAAACCACTTCCTACGCCCCCTCCCCCTTCCTTTATTCCTGCTCCCCTCTCTATCTTGTCCTTTCCTTTAGTAACTTAATTCAATCAGATAGTCTCAGTAAGATCAAGATCTGTTTTCCAAGGGAGAGCAGAGAAAAGGAAAAACATTTTCAGCCAGATAAGGCTGCAACCAAAGATTACTATCAGTATCACTTAAACTGTTAATCGTTTTTTCAATTGCTCGATTCATTGTTAAGTCTATAAAATGTCAGGATATAGTGAACAAAATGCCCATCAGAATTGACCAAAACACCAAATTACGGGCCAAAATCTTTCTATTCAATTTACAATGTTATAAATATAAGAAAATAAGAGAATATCAAAACCTCATATGATTGAGCTTTGAAATGTCTGGTATTTTTTTAAAATAAGAAACAACTTTCTCAATCAATTCATCTTAAGGGTGTTAATCAGTAAATCATCTGTCAAATTACCAATGCTGATTTAACAGTTCCAGTCCGAACTTACATACATACATATAACCACAACACCAATGTATAGGAAAACACTGTTCAAGGTTAAAAAACATAAAAAGTCAAACAACCAACAATAAATCAATACCAAGAAGAAATCTACAAAACAAAAATTAGATAATGAATATCTTGAAAGAAGCCTTTTTCCTTTCCTTTACTTGCAAAGTGCCATTAATATCAAGATCTGTTTTTCAAGAGAGCATTGTATCATTTTCACAGTCAGACTTATCCATACAACCACACATCAAGCTCACAAAAAACATTAGCTAACAACTATAAGAAAGTTGATATATATATAAACAGTATTCTAATAGTTCTTAAAAATCTCCCAAGGAAAATAAATATTCTAGCTTGAGAAATGTCCTTTCCTCTGCCCTCCTTTTCCTTTCTCTGTATTCCTTCATCGTCCTGTTTCCCTGCGTTGATCGACAGTGCTCTCCACAGGATGAAGTGTGACATGTGGTGTGTATGTCAGTGTCTGTCTCACTGTTTACTCTGAGCTAATACTGACTCACTCCATTAATCTGAGCTACAACAGATCCACTCCAACCTGCCCACTTGAGAGTGTTTCAGCTCGTGTGTGTGGGTGCTCTTAGTTATGTCCGTATGCTCTGAATACATGCGTTCGCGACACATGTTCATCATTGTGTTTGTGTCATCCAATATACATTTTCCTGCCTGATTTGTGCGCGTGTACGAGTGTTGTTGTTGCGGGCCAGAGCTTCCAAATCGATGCAGATGCTTTATGTGCTCCTGTCTGCTCTAATGACATGTCTGTAAATTAGCAACAGAATAGTGGAGCACCGCACTGAAACCTAATGGCACCTCTGTAAATTACCGCGAGAATGCTGCCGGACGGCTGCGTGTGTTCTCATTGTGAACAACTTGGCCCCCGCACCCTCTCTCCGCCACCTCATCTACATTTGTCTGCTTGTGTGTGTCAGTGGGATTGTGTAAATGTGTGAGCATTTGTGGCTTTTCTTTCTGTATAGTGTGTGTGTCTGTGTGTCCCTCCTCCTCCTCCCCGCTCTCGCTCCTCAGTAAAGACTAGCCCGAGGCCCTGAGTTGGTAATAGCTTTTCTGACAGCAACACACCAATATTTACAGAGACCAGCACCCACCCACACCCCCGCACATTTCATACACACATATGGAGCATACACTTCTCCGCACACATTCACGTGTTGGAACGCAAGCTGCACGAATTTTCTTTACACACACACTCTTAATTAACATGCTGGAAGGGAAGAAATCACACTCACCAGGGGGAGCTCACACACATGCTGGCATACAACTTGTTGTTTCTCACTCATACCGAATATTGGCATTCACACGTCGGGGTTTTTTCATAGCGAAGAAAGACAATTGGCGGCGACAATTGCTCTTTGAATTGTGATTTATTCTTCACTTTTTCCTCATTATTCTCTCCATGTTATTCACTTGAGTGCCGCCAATTCCATTTTAACACCATTCTCTGTGCCTCTCACTACCTTAATAACCTATTACACTTCAGTCTCTTCATTACGTAGCAACCCACCACCCCCTCCCTCTCCGAGTGTCTGTCTTGCTCCAGCCTGACCTAGTGTGTGTGTAGAATTCCCCCCTCTGTTCTCCTCATTATCGTCAACTAAAAGTCGGTGGTTACGCCAGAGGCTCCACGGAGCGGAGAAAAAGAGGCCAACGAGATGAGCGGAGAGGAATGTTTGCGTGAAGCTTAAAGGGAGTTGTGAGAGATACAGGGATGGTGTTGAGAAGAAAGCTCGAGCGGATGCGGAGGAAGGTGAATGCTTTGGGGGGGGGATGGGTGTGAAGGAGACAGATAATGTCGCCCCTGCTTGTGTATGCCGGCACAATAGTACGATCATTTTCTCCGCAGATGTGTGTGTAGGTGTGCATATTTATTCCTCTGCTGGCTTGCGTTTATGGCTGTGAGTAGGTGTGAGAGAGTAGATAAGAGAGTGTGAGCTTAAGGATGATGGATTGCAAAACCTTGGTCTCGTGTCCTTGGGGGTCAGTGAGGGTGTGCAAGGTAAGTCGCCATTGGCTGCTTGTTATTCTGAATTCTAATTGGCCAATGCTGCTCGCTTCGGCTGCCGCACTGCTCACAGGCTGCTGTTTCCATCTTCACCTTCTCCAAACCTTCCTAACCATTTGCAAACGTAGACACACACACTCTAGCTTTTGACGAATATCACGGATTGAGCCATGTTGTCAAACAAGACCACATCACTTCAGACTGCCAGCACAGCTGTTCTCTCAAAAGGGAGGATGGCAGGTTTTATAACGAGTTTGGAACACTACAGACTCACGACTGTCCCTCTCTCAGCCACACTGTTTAATCTCCAACCCACATGAGTGATCAAAGCTTGTTTACACACCACTCCATGTACGATTAGAGGTATGGAAGGAAGTGTCTCTTCCAAGTGCTGGCGTCAGTGAGGCTTTGCTTGACAATAACAACGTTTTCCTCGTCATCTTGAACAAAAAGTTTGGTGTTGCACATCCAAAATCTAATTTTACCAGGCAGAGCTTTGTTTTACTCGCTGAACAACCTCCATGTTATCATCTTTGAGCATATTGTGAAGAGCGGTGTGGAAAGAAGCGATGTAGCTTGGGATTTGTAGTAATCATTGTGATAATGTTTAACAAAAGTCCACCCTTCTCTTTTCTTCCTCCCTCCCTCTTCCACCTTTCTGACCCAGCTCGAGAGGATTACGTTGCAACCTTCAAGGGCTCCGAGTTCTTCTGCTACGACCTTTCACCCAACCCCATCCAGTCGAGCAGCGATGAAATCACGCTTTCCTTCAAGACTCTGCAGCGCAACGGCCTGATGCTGCACACCGGCAAGTCGGCCGACTACGTCAACCTAGCTCTGAAGAACGGGGCCGTGTCACTCGTCATCAACCTAGGCTCCGGGGCCTTCGAGGCCTTGGTGGAGCCCGTCAACGGCAAGTTCAACGACAACTCCTGGCACGACGTCAAGGTCACCCGCAACCTGAGACAGGTAACCAGACAACAGGAGGTGGAGGAGAGAGAGACCGAGCGATCAGAGGAGAAGCGAGGAGTTATGAGAGTAGACACCATATTGTTAACCTTCAGGTAGACAAACTTGAAGGGTCTTAGCGAGGGACAAAAACATGGTAGATTAACGAATGGATGGAAGCTTGACTGGATTTCAGTTAGTGATTAAATGATTAGAGATCAATATAAATTAATTGGCAGCAGTTAAAATCCTTTTATTAAGCAAAAATGCCCAACATTTGCTTGTTTTAGCTTGTCAATTGTGAGGATTTACTGTTTTATTTATTGTAAATTAAATATATTTAGGTTTTTGAAAGACTTAACAAGTATTTTAATACATCACCTTGAGCTCTGGCAAACTGATGGGCATTTTTGATTATTTTTCAAAATGTTATAGACGATCATTTGTTTATTTGTAGATATAATTGTTAACTGAAAAGTGATTGACAGTGGCAGTGTTTATGTTTAAATCCATGTTGAATAGTTTCAGTGTGTGTTTGACTTTGGTGAACCACAGTGACTGCTGCAGATGTTTCAGGGGCAGCAGAAAAGACCTTAGACCAGAAAAGTCCGCAGCAGGAAACTAATCAATGTAGAAGCTACGGTCAGTGGTCTGTTGTCCATCTGCAGTGATGCTGTGGTAGGAAGAAAATACCTGAGGTTTTGGTCTTAGTTTACAGTGGGTTAACCACCAGCCCAGCACTGCTTTCAGCTCTAGGTGAGTGCTTTTTCAATTGTGTGTGTGCCTGTGTGTATGTGCGTGTGTGTATGTGCGTGTGTGTGTGGGTGTGCGAGTGTGTGTGTGTGTGTGTGTGTGAGCGAATGAGAGACAGAGTGAACTAGAGAACGTCAAGGGTCACTAGCACTCAAGTGCTTGTAACCCACCTGTGCCCTGCCTCTACCGTTTGCCTGTTTGTATTACTAACTTTACTAACTTTACTAACCTGCTAGTGAAACTAACCACCATCCATGGAATGATTCATACTACTAACCTAACCTGTGCCCTTCTCCTAGCGAAACCGCTCCAACCAACCTTCTAACCTCACCAGAGGCCTTCTAGCTTTCCTTTTTTTCTTCCCGAAAGTTGTTCTGTTCACAGTTTTTTGCTTTCCTTTCTCCCCCTTTCCTACAAAGCACTCAGGCATTGGACACGCTATGGTAAACAAACTCCATTGTTCGGTAGATATCATTCTAATTGTTTCTTAGTTTGGGTTTGCCCCGTGTCTATTTCCTTTTGAACCATAGACAAAACTAAACCAATAAAAGGATAAATGCGGTTGGTAATCTTTTACGCTTAAAAAAGCCCCGCCCCCCCTCCTTGCCAACCACTTCTTTTTCTTTATATTCCTCCCCCCG